CCACCCCCCCCTTTATTGAATCCCAGGGTTCTTCACTCTGCTGTATCTTGACTTTAATATAATTTTGCGAGGCCATGTGGTCGCAGCCACAGAACCTGTGAATGAAAATACTGCAAGTCCCATCTGCCACCGCAGCAGAGGGACTCAGATCTCAGTGGAGCACAAGGGCGGTGATGTCACTGCACATATAGTCCATTGATAACTTTCTCCAGTCCCGTAACTGATGGTGCGCACCTGAGCTGGTAGGAAACCTTTTCCCTCCAGCTGTGGTGAACCTACAAACCCTACACCTCTGGGGGACATGTCTGTCTTAGCGGCATTCAGCTCGGCACCTCCGTGGTACCAAGCAGAGTAGAAAGTCAGTGAAAAGAATTTAAAAAAAGGTTGAAAAAATATTGAAACAAATCGTAAATGTAAATAAATATATTTTTAAAAAGGGGAAAAAAAAATTGGGAGGAGCTAGCAGTGACAGATATCTCCACCCAACTGTTTCCTATTGGCAGGCACCAGCTAGGTACTTGGCTAATGAACAACAACTGGCGTCATGGCCGGCTCCACCCAGTTATTATTTAATGACAGATCAGCACCCCCAGGTCATTTGGGGACGTTGATCTGTCATTACAACTGGGCGGAGCCAGCCGGGAGATCTCAGCTGGCTCCACCCAGCTGTCATTTGCGGGGCTTATTGTGAATCCCACGTATACCAGTTCCTCGGTTCCACTGAACTGAAGGGCTCCGGCGGCCAAAGAGAGCCGAAGCTATGGCTGAATCCTTCGGCACCTTCGTGAATAACCCTGTTAGTGTGTCTGTGTGTCAAACAATTTACCTTTCAATTAAATAGGTTTTTACCTGATTTGTATCTCAGCGCTGCTCATTTCATGCAGCCTGAACAGAGATCCTCATGGCAGGATCACCAGGGATTCTTTAATAATAATCTGCAGATTTAAAGATATAAAAAATGACCTATCAAACAAAATAAAATTATCATGCGGAGCTCTTTTTTTTCCTCTCCATGTAAGCCAGCATTGAAGCTGTTTAGGTCACCTGGCCCTCTAATGAACTTTGTTCCCCAGCTGCAGCGGTGCTGCAGTTAATGAGGATTTGCTTTGCAGCAGGCGCTTGTCACAAGGCTTCAGTTTTCCTGAGCAAGAAATGCCTTCAGGACTTTGATGGTATTATGGGATGGGGGTCACCTGACACACTGTATGTATGTATGTATAGTGATTAACATTCACTCCCCAGGAAATGTACACTTTTACTCACAGCAACAATTGTACTGTATATGCATATATATGTTTTAAAGTGACACTAAACTCAGGAGTTAAATCTTAAAAATGCATTCAAGTAAAGTGGACCTTTTACCCATATCTTTAAAATAACAACTCCTGAGCACTTCTTAAAGTATGGCAAAGATATCTCAGCTTCATACACCCAACTCAAGTCATGTGAGTACTTCAGGGCTATTCAGCTGTCATCCTGAAGGCTCCCTGCAAGCTTGTGACAATGTAGAGACCGGAACTATTTTGAGACCATTCTCATGAAGGCACTTAAAGTGACACTAAACTCAGGAGTTAAATCTTAAAAATACATTCAAGTACCTCATCTAATAATATAAATGTATGCAGGCCCGGCGCTAACGCATGGCAAGTCAGGCGGCAGCCTGAGGGCGCTGCAGGGTGAAGGCGGAAAAAACAGGGCATTTTGACAAGTACTTGTACTTGTCAAAATGCCCCGATGCTTGCGCTGTTTTTTTTCTTCTTCACTTACCTTCGGTGCGGGAGAGCAGCGGCGAGTCAGCGCTGGTCCGGTGGGAGGAGCTCCAGGTGGGGTCCTAATTTAGCTGGCCGGTGACTGCCAGAGGTGCCGCGCGTGTCGAGATCTTGAGTTGGTTGGTTGGTTGGTTGCGGGGGAGGAGGGGGGGCGCAAAAATTAAACTTTGCCTGTGTTGGCAAAAATCCTAGCACCGGCCTTGAATGTATCTTATTTCTGTATCACTCGGCTGTAGATCCTCAAATCATCTCTAAATTGGTGCTGACATTGTCCTTCCTTCAGGAGGGTGACTACTTTCGTTCTCCATGGTCCCTGTGTGTGTTGTAAAGTAGTCACCACTCCAAACCTGCTACCAGGATGGACTACAATCTCAGTACAAATGAGTAAACTAAACATGAGATTGTAGTCCATCCCGGAAGTGAGCTTGGAGCGGTGACTACTTTACAACACACACAGGGAACACAGGAGAAAAAGTTAGAGCCATGCACAGAGGGTTGCACGGAAAGGTGCCTGCAGCCGGCCGCTGTCACAATATCCAAACTGTGCTTGCAGCTGATTGGCCTGGAAGCACCATTCACCCGAAGATTTCTCAAAGCTTACAGCTGGAGGTTCGGTCAGTGTTCAGCATGGATGGAGGAGTATTTTATATTGAGCGCCGCTCAGGTTGAGTGTATTGTCTACTTTTACAATATGCAAATAGTGTTGGGTGCAAACAAAGACACACTACAGAGCAGCTCATTTTATTTTTAGATATCATTGTCTCCCCTGATTGCTCTGCCCATTTACACTGATGGAATTAACAATACAAGAATGGTATAGCTATGAAACATACAGGATCTTTAGGAACACAATCCTCTGACAGGGAGGGGGATATCCTGTACCGAGCCGAATAAATAAACTCTTCTTAATGGAACAATGAACAGGAGGACCCCCGCTGACAGACTCAACAAACCCTCTTCCCTGGGAGCGCAGCCAACACAGCCACAAGGGAGCGGCCGTAGGAAATAACAGGGCGATGTAGTGATACAAAATGCCCGCTAGATGGCGGGGGAGAGCGCAGACATTCCGCAGCGGTAGGAGGCAAAGTCCAGCCTGAGCTCACTTGTTGGGTGTTTAGTTGACCAGCTGCGAGCACTCAGCTGGCAGCACCCAAAATCCGGCTGTCACCATGGCAGGGGGGCACAGGATCAGAGGCAAGAAGAAGAAGAAGTATAGAAAGCTGCAACCAGAGGAGCAGATCCAGCTACAGGAGGAGCAAGAGGTGACCCAGACGGAGGTGGACAGCAGCCAGCAGGAGCCCCCAGGGCAGCCAGAGCAGAGCAAAGACAAGAAGAGCAAGAAAAAGAAGAAAAGAGGCTGCAAGAAAGTGCACCTGTCCCCTCTCCCAGACAGGTATGAGCCCCTGGAGGAGACAGCAGAGGAGTCTGAGAGCAAGGAGGACAAGAAGTACAAGAGGAAGCAGAAAGTGAAAAAGTATGCCAAGGTGAGTGGGGAAGGGCACAGATCAGGGGCCACAAATGATTCCCAGGAACAGTCCCGGGTTCTAAAGGCTGGCCCACAGGAATGTGCGTCCTTAGCCAAATGGACCATAAATCCCCCATGTAAGCATTCACATATAACACCTTATCAAGTGCTTCATAGTTGGTTATTTAGTGACTTCTGCTATTCCTAAACAGTATTTTGAATTGCAATCTTCAATCTGCTAGCGTTAGAGCAGAATTCCTGGAATGCTAAGGCTCCCCATACACATTACAATCAACTTTAGATCTACCAAACCCATGTAAATTAAGGATTCACCCGATGTAGCCCATCAATGTGTATCCCGTTGGGCAGGCGTTTGCCCTACATCATTATTGGTAGTTCTAAAGGAGATTGTACAATTAGATTGTATTGTGTGTGGTGAGCTTAAATGTACAGCTGCATGTGTGAATACATCTCTATTTAACTTTTTATTGACACTTATCTCAGTACCGAATGATTCGGTTTCAGAGTGCCGGAAATGAGATGACTGCCAAAAAGTGGATCTTATCACGTCCCCCAGACCAACCCTAGAGATCCAAAACTAAGCATAGAGAGTATTATGGTACCAAATGTTTAGTTGTTGGTTGGAGCAGACTTCCAGCAGAGGTGGTGAGTCAGTGAATTTAGACAGGCTTGGGAGATCTATACTCAGACATAAAAAAAAAAAGGTTAGAAAAGAAAAGAAACAAAAAACCCCCAAAATTTACAAAATGGGCAGACTGGATGGACCGCTCAGACTTTTTCTGTCGTCTCATTTTTCCGTCGTCACATTTCTACGTATCTAAAAGCACTTCCTGTGCTGGAGACTCAACAAGAAGAGGAAATGCCAAAGTGGGGGGACATTTCCCATTGGGAGATTCCAAGTTTCCCATTGGGAGATTCCACATTTCCACTAGGAGAAAAGGGGGTGAACCCCAGTTTAGTAAACATTGAAGTCCCTTATGACCCTGTTCACACCGGAGCGATATGAAGCTACAGCAGAAGTGCTTCAATGCTCCACCCTTTATTTATATGGACCTGTAGTCTCGCTTGAAACTTGTCGTTCAAAAAAAGTACATGAGCTTCTTTTGTGCTGAGTTGTGCGTTTTCACCCCAATAGACCTATCTTGGACCTCCTGAAAAACATGTTTTTTGCACATTTTCTTGACCTGTCACTAGCTTTCCATTAGCTAAAAATAATAATAATAATAATAAAAAAGTTTAAGCCTCAAGTGTGCGCAAAAACACCTGTGCACACATTCATAAAAAATGACTGAAAAACAACTGAAGACGCTCCACTTGTGGTGCGTTACTGCAATTGTATTCATTTGCTGCATTGTATTCGTTAATGTGCGTCACATTACGGCAGCTTGTTGATTTAGAATTTGTTGCCGACATGCATCAACAGAACAGACCCAATACCAAACACGGCACACTACTATATGGCTGGATTCACTGCATGTGCATTGCGTTTAATGCATGTTAAATGCACTTGTGTTGACGCTCAGTGTTGTGCATTTTTAGCGCATTGCTGTGCTGTGCGCTAAAAATACAGCAGAAGCTGCTTAAAGTGCTCTCCCTCTTTCCAGACCTGCACATGCACAGTGCTCCCTCTGTCCGAATTGTAGCTGAGCTCAGTGCCGCTGCCACAGGGGATGGAGAGTGCATTGTGCATGTGCAGTTTTTGGAAGAGTGAAAGCGTTTATTTCAGTGATGGAGCACAGCCAATGTGCGAGGAATCCCAGATCACAGGCAGGGCGGCGCTGATCACTCCCAGTCAGGGCTGTAGCTACCATGGGACGAGTGAGGCACTCGCCTCAGGCCCGTTGAGAGGGGGCGCAGACAGGGCCGGCTTGCCTGCACCCCCTCACCCCTGTTGCCATGGCGAGCACAGGGTGCCATTGGCAACAGTGTCGCCAGGCGGCCAACACAGCCGCGGCTTGGCAGGGAGAAGAGGAGCAGCACAGGCTCCAGCTTCTCCTCAGATCCCCGCTGCTCTCCCCCACCTGTATGGGCAGAGACTCTGTGTCCTCAATCTCTTTTTTATTTCAAAAGGGAAATGTTAAGGGTTTAGACCCCTAATATTTCCCTGAAGCCCCCCAACAGTAAAATAAATAAATAAATAATTTTAAAAAAATACATTTTTTTTAAAACGCCATTTTGGAGGCGGGCGCATGACGTCACATACCGCACAGCTATGTTGGGGGGCACAGTTTTCTCTTCTTGCCTCGGGCGCAAAAGGAGCTAGCTACGGCTGTGCTCCCAGTAGTAGTTTTTGAGCCAGGCTTAACCCTTTAAGATACAGACTAGAGGTGATCCGCCATCAGTTACTTTTTCTGGCTAAATGAAGCTCGCAGTTCAGTTTTTGGAGGGGAATTCATCCCGTACAACACAAACATCCTTTTGTTATATTTTATCATTTATTAATAAAAGAGGTTATTTAGAATGTGTCTTCACATTCAGAGGACATCATCAGCAAATGTGACAACGTTTTAGGGGAGCACCAAATAAAATGACAGATCTGGTCCCTCAGTACAAGTCCGTCTGATTGTATAAAGGGAATATAGTAAAAGAAGTGACAATCCATCCCGCCATGTGTGTGGGAAGGTCTTCTGATCCTTCGGCGGTCGGATTGAACCTGAACATCTCTTCAGATAGTTTTAGATGTTATTGGACCCCCTGATCCCTCCACATATCAGTGATGTCACCCCCGGCTATCACACTCATTACACAGTCCATAGTCTAAAGTCAACCTGCGAGTGTCAGGAAGATTACAAAATGTTTGCTTTGCTGAGATCACAAGTTATCTGCTGGTACATGTTATCATGTTATTCCCTCTCTGCATTACTTTACTCACTGACCTGTTATAGATGTGTTAGATGTGGTTGTGGCGGATCACACCTGTGCAGGTGACAGCACTCACACAGGGATGCACATTATACAATTGTTAAGGTGCAGTGCGTTCAGGAGGCCCATTCATTTCAATGAGCTGCCCAACATGTGACAGTCACAGCAAGGAAATGCATGCACCAAAATGTGTGGTACGTATGATATACCAAACTCCAATACCCCAGTATTCCAGTACACCAATACTCTGGTATTCCACTACACCAATACTCCAGTATTCCAGTACACCAGTATTCCAGTACTCCAATGCTCTAGTATTCCAGCACACCGATACCCCAGTATTCCAGCACACAGATACTCCAGTATTCCTGTACACCAATATTCCAGTACACCAATACTCCAGTATTCCAGTACACCAATACTCCAGTATTCCAGTACACCGATACTCTGGTATTTCAGCACACCGATACTCCACTCCAGTATATAAGAGTTCAGGTTTCATTTTGGCAATAAATCCAAGTTGACAGTATATGACTGAAGCCAGAGGATAATCATAAGAGCCAGGCAGGTAGTACAGTCACATGGAGAGATTAGCAATGGCAACCCCATATATATGTTTACACATTTTCTTTGTAGTAGAGAATGTTGTGGAACAAGTATAACCACATCTTGTGCTGTGCTGACCTGAGATGGAAATACACTGACAGTTCACCGTGAGAACAGAGCTCTATGTGTCATTGTTGAATAAGTCTGAA